AAGTTGTCATCCAGAGTTGCTTGCAAAACGGAATCCAAGGAACCTTTGATCGAAGAAAATCAGTACATTAAAAGTGAGATAGAAAGCATGGGTATGATTTTATTAGAGGTTTGCGGTTCTTTTATTGAAGTGAATTGTATTAAGGAACTTACAATCATTTATGGAAAAGTTCAAACGATATTATTTGAAAAAACTAACTCATACCAATGCTGTTTAGAGTGTGGTGTCTCTCCAAAAAATATGAACAATCTTGATATCCTTAATATAGATTATACTAACAGAGAGTTCAATTACGGTTTTTCCATTCTTCATGCATAGATTCAATTTTTTGAGATGGTTTTGCACATTGCATTTAAAAAAGAAACAAGAAAGTGGCAAGCAAGATCTAAAAAACATAAAGAAAAGGCATCTTTAGCAAAATAAAAGATTCAGACTGATTTTATGAACAAAATGGTACTTGTTGTTGATTTCCCTAAAAGTGGTGGTTCTTGAACAATCAATGATGACAATGCCTCAATGCGTGCTTTTGAAGCATATGAACAAACAGCTGAAATTCTGGGTATTGATCAAAATCTTATATTCAGATTTTACATTATCTTGGTAACACTCTCTTAAAGATATGAAATAGACAGCTTAAAATTCAAGGATTATTGTTGTGACGCTGTTAGACTATATGTGTCCCCTTTATCCAGAGTATTACATAGCTCAATCAGTTCACCAAGTATTGATACATGGACATGACATAATTAAAAACCTTACATTACCCAACGGACTTATGTCAGAGGAAGCTCAAGAGGTTAGAAATAAAGACTATATAGCAAAAACATTATTAATCTGAAAAATCAATTGTTATTTATTATAGGTGGGTCGAAAATCCGATAGAATATCCAAATATCAATATTCATCTTTGTAACTAAGGAAAGTATCTGGTAACTAAGCAATACAAGTATCCATAGCAACTAAATTAAAAAAATTATCACTTTTATAATAAGTGTGATCTCATATTGGTACTCATGTCAAATTTAGGGAATATAGCACTCATAAAATAAATGCATATAACAAAAATAGGTTGTTGCTAAGCAAAATAAAGATATCCATAGCAACGAAATAAAAAAATATACCTTCATAAAAAGCGCAGACATCATATAAGTACTCATTCCAATTTAAAACCTCTTTGTCACAACATCGAAACTCTTTAGTAACAAGTTCCGTATGAGTCGTCACAAAACGTTCCCCCTACTCACCACCACCACCACTAAAGCATGATGTATTTTAAGGACGACCCCTACGAGACTGTTTTTTTTTTTGGTGTGAATTTCAATTCAAAACAATTATTACAAATAGGCACTTCACACGATTTTACTATTATCATTATCTCTGGCTATAATTAATATCAAACTACGCTGATAATAAAAACATTTTCAGAATGAGTTCGTTTTTTAAATTTCGATAGCTGGTTTCTAAGTTATGACAACTTATTTTTGGGCTCAATAACGCCTATTTTGCGTCAAGATTTATTGAGTTATCCTTAAGGATTTATGGAACCAAATTTTGGTGTTAGATTTTTTTTTTAAATGCTATGTATGAGAAAGAGTTTTATTAAAATACTTATGCTAAATTAACTTTATTGTTTTCTTTTTTACTAAAGAATCAAAGCATTCAATTCTTAAAATTATTTTTCTCATATTAGAGGCCTTAGGTATGGATCCCACTGCTGGTTTTCCCCATACCAAATTTCTATAAAACTAACAAAAAGAAACTAGAATTGTAAGAGTAATAAATTCATATACATTTATAAAAATCCAAATTTCGCAGAAAGAAATGACTTTGTAAACCATAGAAATGCAATGCCTTGCTTTGTCCAACCATTGTCTGAAACACTCCATGTACATTTTTCTGGGGCATTTTCAATTTAAAAACTCGAGAGAGACTTGGGAGTTTATCCTTTAAGTATAAAACGTGGTGGAAGAGATTTACCTATTGCATTGACACAAGCTATTGTTAGAGAAATAATAAGAGGATCTGAAAAAGGTATAAATGGTAAAAGGTATAAATGTTTGTAAAGTGTCGAAATACTTTTCCATTCTTAAAAATGCGTTAACGGAAAACAACCTACTTCAAAAACCGCATAACATTTGAAATATAAATGAGACTGGGATGTAGTTAGATTATTGTTCTGGAATAATAGTTGATGAAAGAGGAGTTAAGTATCTACTTTGTCGTCAATCAAGTAACCGGGAAACAATCAGAATCATCTGCAAAAGGCACAAAGATTTAACTCTGGTTGTTTCTCTATTACCTGATTGACGACAAAGTAGATACTTAACTCCTCTTTCAGCAACTATTTTTCCAGGACAATAATCTAACTACATCCCAGTCTCATCCATATTTCACTGATGTTTAATAGCTGCCGTACCTTCTGGTTGAAGTAAAGCTAAATCTTTGTGCCTTTTGCAGATCCTGCGCCACCATTTTTATATACGCCATTTGTAAACCACTTCTACTCCATCCGAGCGTACGTAGTTTATTGATAATCCCTTGCTGTTTTGATTTTATAGAAATATTTGACATAATTTCATTTAATAGAAATATTTGATATTATTAATTTAATGGAAATATTTATGTAAGCTTTTATCTTTTTATTATATTGAAATTTTACATAGTATTTAAAAAAAAAAAAAACTCATTCTTTTTTTTTAAATCAACTATTTTATGTAAACGTTTCTTTTTAGTAATATTTTCTAATTATATGAACAGCAAGTACAGTAAAAACCTCAATAATCCGATTTAAAACTTAAATTATTCTAACTTGATCGTTATAAAAGATTTTGGATTATTTTTTTTAATAGATAAACGTCGCAACAAGACAAATTGAACGATATGATAATATTTTTTTTGTAATTTAAATTTTCATATTACTTAATTTTCAAAAACCACAGTTTTTATACGAAATCAAGAGTCTATGCCCCTAATTTCAGATTAATACTAACAGTAAATTAATTAAGTTAATCCTCTACTCAAATACCCGTTGTTCTTTTAAACTCACAAACTCTTAGTCTGCAAAGCGGGTGATGCTCTTCAGTGAGTTGAACTCGTCTTTGCGGGCCTTAGTAATGTGGCCTCTGTATGGAAATTAGCCGGAGGAGGATAAACCACAATATCTATTATTTTGACGACCAATGCATGACCAATTAGTGCACTGCTCGCATGCAAGCTATTAGTTATCTGAACTATTCACCCAATAAATTTCATTAGAGTAACAAAAACGATCATCAGATACTAAAATTCTATTTGAAGTTTGAGTTAATTGGGGGTCTTGTAGTTTGAGTTAATTGGCTAAACTACCAAGTCTAAACTTGGTAGTTTAGCCAATTAACTTTGTTTCAACTTTTTTTTCCTTCTCTTTTCTGTTTATTTTCTGCTTTTTGAGTAACAGTGACAACCTTTTTTTGTCTCTCTAACCAATTTCTTTGCCACTTGTTTGTCTAATTTTTGTTTTTTGTTACTTGTTCAACTTCATTGAGAGCTACGGTGTCTGTCGAAGTCATATTGTAATTAGGTGGTCGCTTTATATTCTTAACTTTTTAAACTTTTTTTTCAGAGTTAGTGTCAATAGATCTCTGAGCATATTTAATACAGATTTGTTTATACCTTTTCTGATTTGTAGAACGGCAATATTTAAAGTATTAAGGCTTTTAAGCAAAACTTCACGATTTGACATTCTTGATGTTGTTTTTCGTTTATTGGTTGCATTTTCCAAAACTATTTGACAAAAGTACTGTTAAAGAACCAAACAAATGTTCAATATTGTTGTTTTCGACAGCTTGAGACACGGCACCGATGCAAGTTTTTTAAAAAGAAACATGTGAACTATTGAGTGGACATATATCAGTATGTTGAAAACCACTCCGTACATTTTCAGGTTTAAACCCACCATTTTAGTTAAGATCCTTAAACATGATAGGAAAATGTCAACTTGTTGGTGATATCGATAAAAATTTGAGCAGAATTGCTCAAATTTTTATTCACGTTAAGTTAAACAATTTGCTACAAAAACGCTGAGTTATTTCTCAGCTTTACATGAATAAAAGTTAAACCAAAATTGGTTAAGTTTTTAATTACGTAAAGCTGACCAGTTACTGACTAAAAGCTTTTTTTTATTCTCCCAGCCCATTATATAGAATACTCCAATTAATAATTGGGCACTCTTTAAATTTTTTGTGTATGTCCATTAATCCTTCAAAAGCAAAATTAACGTATCAAAAGTGAAGTTAAAGCATTGTTAATACAACTGCAACAGTTAATGTATTAACAGCAAAAGACCAAACTACGATATTCCTCACTGCAATATTGTAATTTACTTAAATGGCAGTTAAAACTTTTTTTTGTTATCTTAGTGTCAATTAGTGCAATTAAGAAAACTTCATATTACAAACTAGGTTAACTTGATTTCAAATACGGTGTTATAATAAATTACTTCCAAGAGTAGCATAGACATCTAATAGCGCAAAAATGTCATTTATTTCTAATCAGGTTATATAGCTAAAATAAGTGATGCAAGCTTTAATTAAACAAAAAACAAAATTTTAAAACTTTTTGAAATTTTTGTCAACAACAATAGTCACCTTCAATTAAAGGATATGGTATTTTTGTCAACAACAATAGTCACCTTCAATTAAAGGATATGGTATTTTTGACATTAATTGGTATTTAAAGGTATTTAAAAGTAAAAAGTTATTAAAGAAAGTAAGTTTACTTTCCTTTATTTGTCCTTTATACCACATATATAGGTATGATATAATGAGAATTAACAAATAAAAATAAGCTTTATTACAAAAGCTCTCTTTCTTTTTGTAAATCAAGTTTATAAAAAAATTTATTGGACATAAATTTACGGTAATTGAAAATATTTCATTTCATTTATTTGAATATTTTAATATTAGAGTGTTGAGTTTTAATGTTGCCATTATTATTACAAAATACATTCATTTAAAAAATACCTTAACAAGTTGTGGTAAGTACGATGAGAGATTAGTGGTCACCATTCCATTGAACAACTGAAATAAATTATCAAGAACTTTTATTGCTTTGAAAGTAAGTTAGTAAATATTTTACACTAACACAAATAATTTAAATAACAATTATATAAAAAAAACTAGCAATATAACTTTTGCACCATTTTTTAAACTACCTACAGACAAATGTATAGCTTGTTTTTTTTTTGTTTTTTTTTTTCTACTTAATTTTAGGTGTCCCAAGAAGTTCTTATGGTCTTGTCGCAGTGCACGCAAAAAGCATTTAACTAGGAAAGATCATGCTTCCTTTTGTACCTGATTCAATTGAAGCTACTCAATTGGTATTTTAAAATACCAATTGATTGAACTAAAGACCCTTAAACAAAAAAGGGTCCCTAATAATATAAAAATATATATATATTTTTATTTTATTTATTTATTTTTTTTCATAACTATCCAACCTAAAATAAATTAAAATTATCAAAAAATATCAAATATTTATAGCAATTTTTGAAAAAAACAACAAAAAAAATTATAATAAAATAAAAATCATACATTCCTAATAATATAATCTAAAAACAAACTTTTTTCATAAAATAATTCGCGTTTTTGCTATTAATATTTTAAATTTCACGCGTAAAGCGTTATCGAATAACTCAGGCGGAAACAAACCAAAACATAATTTTTAAGTAAATTTTAATTACTTAGATGCAAATTTTTATTATTAGTATTTTTTTTTTTTTTGCATAAAAAAAACAAAACAAAATACTTGTAATAAAAACGTTTTTGTTGATTTTTATTATAGATGGGATCAGAATAAATTATTTCACAGTTTTGATCACTTGCTAAATATACAAAGAAATCAGCGTGAGAATAGCCAATAACTAGTGTTATATTTGTGTGCAATATTGATGACTTTTCAGTGTGTATGTGTTAAGACAAAATTTTATTTCCTAAAAAAGTTTGAGCAGTTTCAGCATATTCACATATATTTTTGCATGAATGTCCATAGAAATTTAATTCCAAGCAAAGCAAAACCACAACATGTACAATTTATTGTACCATCTAGGCTTGCTGGAAGATAAGGTGCTTTGATTGATACTATTAGCTCGGTTTGATAACATGCCCAGTTTGGTAACATAAAGTTTTTAAGAGTTTTTTTTCATTTCCCTGATATATCTTTTCAAGCATAGGACTCAAACATGTTACCCCATTGAATTGATTTATTTTTAGCATTATTTTTATAACCTACAATTTGAGCACATAAATTATATGCTTTTTTTGTGTTTTACACTTCCAAGTCAACGTCAAATTTTGTTATGACAGCATGAGCAATAGATGGCGATATTGCTCCAACTCTATATGATTTCCAAAGTAAACTTTTTGATTGAAATATCGTAGCTTTTTTGATAAGTTCTGCTTGAGATGTTGTAATTGAAAATGTCCATAAAATTTTTCAAGTTTAAATGCTATTGATTTATTATCATAAAAATATTCTATCTGAGCTACATATTGCTCAATGGTAGGTGGTAACACTTTGTTTTTAGTTGCATTTGCAGGTAATTTTTTTTATAAATTATTCTCACTGTATATCTGTCTTGAGGCAAATTATAGCACTTTTCCTTCTGTGGATTCTGTATCTGCTTCCCGATCTTTCTTTGTAAATTATGATTGCTTTAAATAACAAGGACAAGTATCATATAAAGATCGACCAATTTTTATTACTTATTATTTTTTAAGCTTGATTTGACTTTTATAATGGAAATATTTTGTAATTTATCTGGCTCATGTAATTTTCTGTGTTTTAGTCCTCTACTTTTGTTTTGCTGATGTGCAAGTTATATTTTCTTTTAGTAGCATATGCTCTTCTACAAACAACAACAAAGCAATTATATGTTTTCAGCTTTCTTTCTTTTAGCGACACAATTATTTAAACTCAACCATGATTTATATTCTTCATCATAAGTTTTTGTTTGAGGGACTACAGCTTCTTTTAAACAAGAAAACTGTTTAAAGCTACTGAAGGTTCATTATCTGAAGAATAAAAATAATGTCCTTCTTACAAGGCTTTAAAGCAGTGAGTGAGAAAAGCATACGTTTCAATATCCATATAATAATACTATATGGAAAATAAATCAATGATATAATAATATGATATGAAAAACTCTATGACATACAGTTTGTGCTTAGTAATAATTTTAACACTTCTTTTTCTGACACTTATTTCCAATTTCAAAAAGATGATGAAGCCATAAACCTGATTTTAATTTTTGAAATTAACTGGATTTAATAACTTCAGTTTCTTCTTGTAAAGTTTTTTTTAATGGTAATTTAAGTTTATTAGCATTATAAAAATTTTTGAACAATTGTTTTTGTGAAGGACTTTCACCTAGAGGAAAATTCCTTTCTTACAGAATTTCTTTCAGTTTACCAACTTTTAACTTATTAGTATTGGTATTAGTATTTGTTTATGCTGTGACTGGTATTGCTACCAGTGATTGTGGTTTTAAAGCTCACTATGACAGTTGAGTCTTGTGGTAGTTTGACTTCCATCGATCAAGTCTTGCTTTAAATGAGTTGACTGAATTAGCATTAACGATATTTTCTGGCAGTGCATTCCAATAATTTGCAGCTCGATTTAGTAAAATATTTTCTCTATAATTATGTACAGAAAATTTTTTAAAATACATTAGGTTATGGTCACGAGTACAATTAGATTTGAAGGATTTATTTTCTTTAAATTCAACTTTATTATAACCTTTGAAAAATTTAAACAATTAAGCTATTTGATCTTCATAGCATAATTTATTGATTAAAGGTACCAATTTAGTGGCACGACGCTGTATTCTTTCCGAAATCGTAATATCTCGTTTTTAGTGGTGAGCCCAAACTGGTACAGTAAACTCTAGGAGTGGTCGAACAAAGGAAAGATATAGGGATTTTAGCAATTCTGCATCAAATTGAACAAAAGGTTTTTTTATTATACCTAACATGCGGTTTGCTTCGCTTGCACTCGATAAGACTTGATTTTTCCACTTCAAGTTATCTGAAAAAAACACTTTGAGGTTCCTTTCTGAATCTGATATGTTGAGTTTACAACCACTTAAAATAAATTGGGTATCTCTTATTTTTATAGCCATAGTGCATAACTAAACATTTGTAAATATTAAAGTTAAGCAACCAATCTTGTGTCCAAACGTACGCAAAGTTCAAATCACATTGTAATTTATTATGTAACTCATCAAAAAGACTAATCGGCATAATTTTTGTGTAAATAACTTAACCTATTAAAGTAATTACTTTTTTTTCTATATTTTTACTTCCAACAAGGCTGCAAGCAACCACTATTTGAGTTGGAAGTTACTGGAAAAGAAGCGATGAAATTTACAGAGCAAGATAACAATTAACAGACAACTTAAAAAATTGCAACTTAAATGAATCAGGATAACAAGATGAAGGAAACAAGTTCAAAAAACTGATATTCGAGGAAAAAACCTAGACGAATAAAAATATTTTGAGCTCTTTGGAACAATCACAATAAAAAGATGAGACTTAATAGAACGACAAGTAACACAAGAATGAATTTTAGTACAAGATACTGAAACCAGCTATATTTACAATGCGTTTTTGCAACTTGTCTAAGAGAGAACGGGCATCATTGGAAGATCTGCCTTAGATATGATAACAGTATTCCATACAAGGGCGGATTTGAGATTTATAGAGATAAAGAATAGAATCCGGAGTAAGAAAGTGGCTAGCACGATAAAGATATGCAACTTTTGCAGATGCTAATTTTGCAATGGATTTGATAAGTAGTTTCCAAGAAAGATCGGAAGTAAGAGTTAACCCTAGAAGATGAAGTGTAGATGACTTATTGGATACATTATCGTTCATTCATTAAAGTAATATTAATAATAATCTTTACCATACAATCATTAGAACTCTCGATTCTAAATATTTTGATACATCAAATTTTAAACTTGAACTTAAAACTACTATAAATAACATTACTGGCATGCATACCTACATCATATGTCATGCATGTCTACATCAGAAGTTTACTTATAAATATAGACAAATTCAAAAACTTTCTCCTTGAATGCAAGCATACTTTTAGAATAATCTGCCTTACAGAGATTTAGTGGTCTGACTAGGCTAAAGAAACAAACTCTGACCTCCGAATTCTAAACTATAGTTCTAAACAGAGGAGAAATTTTTAAGAAATGATCTTTCAAACTCTTATGGCAATAATGAGGTCTTTATAACGAAAGTTACTATCACTGGGTCAAAGAACTTTCTAGTTTTTACATTCTACAGACCACCCGATGGTGATTCTTTTAAATTTTCGAATTAAATAAAAAATAAAATTAGAAAAATTAGAGAACAAAAAAAAACATAAGTATTTTAAAATACAACGAAAATGAAATTGCTAAAATATTTTTGACAACATCTTTAAAACTAGCATATTCTCAATTATCAACAAACCTACTAGGGTAACTTCCAAATCTATTACTGCTATTGATAATATATTAACAAACTCAATACAAGATACTTTTCTAAAATCAAGAATTAAAAAAACAAATTCTTCAGATTAATTTTCTATATACTTTTCAGATCAATTTCATATATACTACAAGCAATACAATATCATGTTTGAAAAAATTAAAAAAACATTTTATATAACTTTAATTAAATACAAAAATTTAATGGAGACTTAAAAAAGATGGGACATTATAATGAAAATAATTGGTAAAAGTAAATCTAATTTTAACAGAATGACTTATAGAGTAAAAATTAATGAAAGTGAATCAAACAATACGCAAGATAATTCCAACGAATTTAACAACTACTTTGTCAACACAGGTGCCGATCTTGTATCAAAAATTCAATGCCCAAATAATACATTTAAAGTTACTTAACAGACTCACTAAACAGGCTCATTAAACTTTAATGAACTACGTCAAGACGAACTTGAAATAGTTAGGAAATCAAGTCACTTCTGCTACAGGATGGGGTCTCAGTGGCTGGTAAACTTCAACTCAGATATAACTCAATTTTTTTCAGCTAATCGTTATCGTAATATTCTAGATTTTTCTATATTTATGAACGGTAATGTACTCGATGAGTCATCTCCCCCTTCATCTTCTAGGATTAACTCTTCCAATCTTTCTTGGAAATCATATCTTATCCATATCATATCCATTGCAAAATTAGAATTTGCCAAAGTTACATCTCTTTATCGTGCTCGACACCTTCTTACTCCAGATTCTATTCTTTATCTTTATAAATACAGATATTCCATATCTGGGGCAGATCTTCCATTGACGCCCTTTCTTATTTAGAAAAGGTGCAAAAATGGGTTGTAAATATATTTGGACTTGCTCTTACAGCCAATCTTCAAAAATTGTAACATTGTCGTAATGCTGCTTCTCTTTCTCTTTTCTATATATACTCTAATGGGCACTTCTCTAAAGAGCTTGCATCTCTTGTCCCTACTATTAAAAATCATTATCGTGTTACTTATCGTTCAATTAAGTCTCATCCTTTTACTGTGACTGTTCCAAAGTGCTCAAAATATTTTTATTCAAAATTTTGTTTCCTATTAACCCAGTTTTCCGAAGGTATAGCATGATTTTTAAGTTCAAGGAAACTTCTTTTGTTAACATTCCATTTGTTTTTAAAATTTTACCTATGGTATTCCGACCAAAACAGCCCTATACCTTAACATTACACCCACCATGTTTTAAAGTCAATAATGCACAGTGTTTTATTATACAATCAACATTTTATTTTAGACAAACAATCTTTTACTAAAACCAAAGATTTAAAACTTCGACACTTTGGTTCGCGTTTACATTCATTGTAGGTCATTTTCTTATGTAGTTTTGCCCACTTTAGCACTTTAGCAACTTAAAAATATTTATGTATATATGTATATATATATATATATATATATATATATATATATATATATATATATATATATATATATATATATATATATATATATATATATATATATATATATATATATATTATTGAAAAAAATTAAAAACCCTGAGAGAAACAAAATAACAAAGGGCTTTTATATTTAAACAGACCTCAACCATTCTAAATGGTTGAGGTCTGTTAAATTATATGATGAATTTGAAATTTGTTGATTTTGCAATATAAAAGAGAAAGTTAAAAGGCTGTATAAAGGCACAAGTAGTTTGAAAAAAAACATAGTTCAAATTTTATTAAACGCACAGAGTATTTAACTTTAAGATAACGTTGCAACGGCGGATTCGTCAAACGTCTACTTTGAATTAATATCATATTGTAACTTTTTATCTTCAAAAAATAATTAAATTTAACATTATTTTTAGATTTCAAAAAAACGCTAGAAAATTATGTTTGATAGAACTAAAATAGAATCAATTGTTCAAAATGTATTAGCTGCATATGTCCTCATTTCGATTTCAAGTGAAATTACAAAGACAATTCAAATTTGTTACACGTACTGCTCAGCATTTGTATAGACGCTTTAAATAAAGAAAATGCAATTATGTATCCTGTTTCTGTACTTTATTTTAATATGGATGAAGAGCTTATAATTTATTATAATTTATTCTCATAATAATTTTAGAGAGCAATATGGGATGGGAGGGGAAGGGAAAACAGTAATAAAAATTTCTGAATTTATCAAATTATTGATATGTTTTGTTCGTTTTAATAGACTACATAATACCATTTTCAGCCAATAATGGTCTAGTTAAATTTGGGTGCTGAACAATATATACCTTTTTTTCAAAATAAAACCCAAAATATAACCTAAAGGTATTGAAAGCTGATTGTAGCTGCCATTTTTTCTATGAGATGATCAAATATGTCTTGAAAATAACATCAACAGGTGGAAATAAAAGTATTCAGCGAACTTTAATTAAACACAAAAAATTTCAAAGAACTAAAAGATTGTATTATTTTTCTAAAACAAATTTATTACGAGACTCTAATGCATGCAAAATTTACAAGATGGCCTAGTTTTTATATGGTTTTTCGTGAGGTTTTCAAAACCATGGCAAATCTTTGATGTTTATTTTATTTGAAAAATGAAAAAATGCGACCACAAAATTTGAAAAGTGGTGCGATAAGGAAAAGTAAGTAAAGTAAAAAAAAAGATTGCCAGAAACTTTTATTGCATTTTGTAAACTTACTTATATATACATTTCGAATAAATATATATTAATTTTGGAGTAAAGAAACACAAACATAACAGAGTTAGATTAAATATTCAAAAAATTGAGATGAAGTACTATAATATGGAAAGAAGTTCGCTTTTATTGAATATATTGTAATTTATTTGCGCACATGTCCAACGCTGCTAAAGTAAAAATTAAATACTTTGAAAACACTGTATATATGAGAGCGTTTAAATAAGTGGTATAACTTTGAGATTAAGTTTTTAGAGAAATCTAAAAGTTTAACATTGAACAATTTGTTTCTAATATCAATGTCTGTATTGCAATAGTCGAGTATTTAAATATGGAAAATATGGAGATTTATTTCTCAAGCTTTGCTTTTCTGATGATGAAACCAATATGTATTTGCGTCCGCAAATACAGAGAAAGAAAAATATCTTGTATTGAGTATTTAGTAGAATTTTTATTGAGCATTTTAGCCATTAAGTATTTTGTCAATAGAATTTCATCAGCAAAAGAATTTCATCAGAGTACTTTGTTGTGGGATAAAAGGAACCGTTAATTACGCGATCGTATTAAATCCGAATTATTTATTTGCAATTATTAAAAAGTTAAATACGATAAATTTTGCACAATCGCTACTGGAAATAAAAATTATTAAAAGCAGTTAAAAGCAATGATAAAAAAAAACGCTTTAAAGATAAAAATTAAAACTTTGAAAAACGTATTAAAATTAAATCGCATATGTTTGCTATGAGAAGCAAATAATATTAATAAAGAACAATTTTTTCAGGAAACAGTAATAGATATGTTAAAAAAAAATTTCTAGAGCCTAACTGATGCCCTTATCTATCTCTATAAAATATAGGTTAGTCTTGCAACTTCTACAAATTCCAGTCGGGTGTGAATTTATGTTCAATCTGAATGCAGCATTGAAAAATTTTTGATAAGTTGAATCAATAAACCATTTTTCTCTAAAGGTAGAAAAAAATTCCTACAGAAACAGATCCATCTCCTATATTCTGATGTAAACAAATTATCAGACAATTGACGTCTGGTAATTTTTTTTTAGACGTCATAGACACAAATATCAGACTTCACTTTGACAAGTTTTTTAATTGATCAATTTAGTTTAAGTTTTTGACATATTTTGTGTTGATTCTTTTGACATATTTTGTGTTGATTCTAAATTCAAATATTTATTTGAGGCAGACACAAGGCGATTTGGAAATTATCAAAAAATAATATATATATATATATATATATATATATATATATATATATATATATATATATATATATATATATATATATATATATATATATATATATATATATATATATATATATAATAAGAGTAATAAACAATTTTGAGAATAATGCAAAAAAAAAAAAAAAAAAAAAAAACAACAACCAAGCTTTACATTAAACGACTCCATTATTTAGGCGCTACATTTTTAATTATTCTTTTATAAAAGATATATTTATACTATAAGATACGAATTGCATGTTAAATATTTTAGGATATGAATTTTAATAATTAACAATCAGAGCGTATCAGCTTAAAAAGCTTTTAAGCTGAAGGCGTTGGTCACAATAATCTTGCGAAAATTTCTTTTAAAAAAGAAATTTAGTATCAATAGAAAATCGTATTTATTGATGTTTATAAAATAAGAATTTAAATACTCTCATACATAATGTCTATATTAACAAAATTAATATATATATATATATATATATATATATATATATATATATATATATATATATATATATATATATATATATATATATATATATATATATATATATATATATATATATATATATATATATATATATATAAATATATATATATATAAATATATATATATACATATATATATATATATATATATATATATATATATATATATATATATATATATATATATATATATATATATATATATATATATATATATATATATATATATATATATATATATATATATATATATATATATATATATTTATATATATATATATATATATATGTATATATATATATATATATATATATTGCTCCAATCTAATGTGATCAGTGTCATCATATTTAAAAAGCAAAACTTATATATATATATTTTTCACTATCTTTAATTATATATATAAAAATCATTTTAAACAAAAGTATACACTGCAATTAAAATATTTATTTCAAAAAAAAAATTAATAATAATTCTTACAATTAGCACATACAAAACCACACAAATTCCAATCGGGAGCGGTGTGGCGTTTTCTCCATAAAACGTTTCTTTTAAAAAGTTATTGATTCTCATTTTTTGTTTCTAAAAATGTATCAATAATTTTATTAAGCATTTTTAACTCTTGGATAATGAGTATGTGCAAAATAAAGTGACACAACTACCTAACAATAATATAAAGACACTACTACCGAACTGAAAACGCAAAGATTGCAATGTAACGTTGTAAAGTACAGAGCTTGTAGAAAAAGCTAACAAATTAAAAGTTTATAATAACAATACCGAAAATTCAATAATATAACGCTTAAGTTGAATGTAATAAAGTTTTAAACATTTTTAAAAAATGAACAAGAGTAATAAACAATTTTGAGAATAATGCAAAAAAAAAAAAAAAAAAAAAAAACAACAACAACCAAGCTTTACATTAAACGACCCCATTATTTAGGCGCTACATTTTTAATAATTCTTTTATAAAAGATATATTTATACTATAAAATACGAATTGCATGTTAAATATTTTAGGATATGAATTTTAATGATGAACAATCAGAGCGTATCACGTTACCCTTTGAATTTCTTAATGCGTATTGTTAAACTTTGATAATAAAAAAGATATTTAATAAAAAGTTACTATTTTAAAAAACTATTTTTAGTTCTATTGTTATAGCATAAAACTATAATTGTCTTTAATATAAAACTTTAATTTTTCTTATTAAGTTTGATAAAGATACAGTATACTTATTACGGTTAGTAAAAACTTATATTCACAGCAGGTATTTTTATTTAAAATAATTGCAATAACGCAGTAACAATTTAAAATGAATTACACTGTTTTACTAGTGTTGTTACGACTATTTAATAATTCGACTGTCGACTAAATCGGAAAATATATTTTATTAAAGTCGACTAAAATCGACATTTTTGAAACCGACCAAGACGACTAAAAGTCGATTTAGTCGAAGTATGGGAATAATTTTTTTTATTAAATAAGTAGTAATAAAAATTATAAAGCAGTTTATATTTGCTTTTTGTTTTTAATTATTATATCATTTAAATAATAATTGACAAAACATCAAAAACATCAAAAACATCAAACACAATAATTGATAAAACATCAAAACAATATAAGAGAAGAGCTGTTCCGACAACAGGACAACCTTTTCCCATACCCCAATGATTTAGAGACCATCTTAAATACATACTATATATCAAAAAGCCATTACAAGCATATTGTAATGTGATTGTATAGATGTATTTAAATTGAATGAAAAGATTTAAATATTTTGAGATTTTCATTCAACAAAATTGACATTCAGTCGATTATTAAGAAGTGCTTAGTCGATTAAATCGACTACTCGATTTTTCAAAGTTGACTAATTTTGACTTTCGACTAGTCAACTTTTTGTCTATTTAATCAAAGTCAATAACGACACTATATTTTACATTAAAACTAGCATTTAAATTAGCATTTTAGGAGTCAAGTAATTTAATGACAATTTTTTTCAGCGATATAATTTTTATTAAACGATTATTATTTTCGAATTTTTTATAAAATTTTGCTTCTTTTGAGTACCAGGTTGACCTACTTTTGAAAAACTTTTTTTCCCCAAAATATTAGGGTGCCGGTAATTTTCCCAATAAAGTTGCGCCCTTTAAATCTATCACAATCATTCTCATATTTGATAGTATCAATATTAATAACTATTAGCAATGTTTAGAGCCTTAAACAAGAAAAAAAAATTTTATGACCCACCCTAGTATATATATATATATATATATATATATATATATATATATATATATATATATATATATATATATATATATATATATATATATATATATATATATATATATATATATATATATATATATATATATCTATATATATATATATATATATATATATATATATATCTATATATATATATATATATATATATATATATATATATATATATATATATATATATATATATATATATATATATATATATATATATATATATATATATATATATATATATATATATATATATATATATATATATATATATATATATATATATATATATATATGACCGTATGGTCTTTTCGTCGAGTAAGACAGTAAAAAGACGTTGCATTTTTGCGTTTAGTAAATAAAAAAGTGTTTCGCAATAATAAAGGAATAACAAGATTTAAAGAAAAAGAAAAAGAAAAAGTTCACAAAAAATTTCTTGAAAATAATTTGACAGGTAATATAACAGCAATATACGCTTGCAGATCGTAAATAATTTAAATACAAATTATACAATTAAAATCATGCATTACAAATCATATAAACCGATATAAATAATAGATAAAAAGATTTTCAAAAGGTTTTAAAAGCACATTTGTATATCATTCAACTTTTTTTAAAAAGATTTATAATTCCATTCAAAAGAAAAATCAAAGTTATTTAAGATAATTATGTTCCAAAAATGTATCTTTTGGAACATGTCTTGAATAACTTTGTCCACGAAATAATACGCAAAATTTAAAATGATTATTTTTAAATTTAAAATGATTATTTTTAAATTTACAATGATTAGTTTTCGAAAATGTTTGCATCATAAAAATCATTATTTCGTAATTATTTTTTTGATTTGTTATAAACGGTTTAAGAAAATGAGACAGTGATAATTTCGTTTTACATTTGTATATAAAACAGAGAATATTATATACGTTAAGTTTATATATGTTTAAAACACTCATCGACCATAAGAATTAACTAAACGCGCTATATGTTTCTAATGACGATGAAGATATATATATATATATATATATATATATATATATATATATATATATATATATATATATATATATATATATATAAATATATATATATATATATATATATATAAATTTTTTGGGACACCCTAATATATATATATAAATATATATATATATATTTATATACATATTAGGGTGTCCCAAAAAAATTTTTTTTTAATTTTTTGATGCAGTCCCTCTTGAAAGTTTCTTTGCAGTCTCTTAACAACCCATAATTTATTTTATTACATTTGAAAAATATTTAGAGGTCCCCCAGGGTCATAAAGTTTAGCGATGTCGCGGAATTTTCGTTAATGGCATTTGATGACTCGACATCATCGAGTTTACAGAATACAGATCACATGTCTAATCGATCATAAAAATATAGTAAAAATGATAAGTTTCTGGTAGAGTTTAGAATAAAATTGGTTTATAGCACATCTTTATATGATTTCAAGCACAAGCAAAGCCAATTTTAGCTTTAAATATTTTAACACTTAGCAATAGAAAACGTAACTTTTTTATGCTCGTTTGAACACAATTAAAGACAATAATTTATTATACAAAATGGCAACAAGGTTTTAACTGTTCATTCTAAAATATGATAAATAACTTCTAAAATCTAAATGTCCACAAGATTGTCACAATTGCATTTGGAAAAGTCTTGTCTGTGTTTTTCAACAACCTGAAGTAGAAATTGTTTCTGTTCTTCATTCTTTGTTATTGCTGCATTAAAATTTTGGATGAGAGCAACGCCCCGCTCAGCACAATCATAAACACATGGCAAGTTATTGACAAGTTGACGTGGCATTTGATGGGAATGGTTTTCGTGCCACTCTTCTACTGGAACATCGAGAAAGTTATCATCAATGGCAGTAACTAAGAAGAAACTTCGAGAAATGAGTAATTCCGCTGTTGTTTTTGGAAGAGACTTGAGCAAATGCGATCCTCGATCACTTTTTATTGTCGACACAAGCTGGGTTATTTCTTTAGAAGACATATGCTGAGAGAACAAGGAAACTGTTGCTAGCTCTTGGCTAGCAACAGTTGAGTGACGCTTCATCATCTTCAAACCTTTTGTCTGCAAAGCAGCATCTTCATACGTAAGCAGCCTTTGAATCAATTGAATGTCATTTAATGGTGCATCAGCAATGGCTTGACTTGAAAACCAAGATTGAATAAAGACATTGACTACAAATCTATTAAATCTCTGAATGCCCATTATTCACGAGCAGTCATGTATAACAAATCTATTAAATCTCTGAATGCCCATAATTCACGAGCAGTCATGTATAACAGCTTTATTACCATCAAAAAGCAATTCTATCTTCATTGTATAAATCGCCTTGGCCATCCAACGTGCTCTGTGAACGGCACCAGCTTTGCGAACTGGTGCTGCCACAGCGCATTTTAAACCAATCATATAAGCCCCCAGTTGGAGGAATTCTCAATAGTCATCTCGTGGATGGCTGAGTTGAAGCTGCTCAGCAATTAACTCCTTCAGATTGTCACTTGCACTCACCAATGGCACTGGTCGTGGCATTGACTGACGGTGGCCCAACTCTGACCATTACTCTCGGAATCTTTTAAAAATCAAAATATCCGGTCCAGTTGACGGACCTAGACACACTCCATATGCATCAGACAACAACACCTCAAACATGTGGTGGCGACATGCCAACCATAGCAGATTGCGACCGAGAGCCTTCTCCAGAAGAGTGCAGACTCCACTTAGTCTGCCAGTATTTGAGGCTGTTGTATCAAAGCACATTCCAATGACTTGTTGATCGCACTGCCATGATTTGAGTTGGTCAAAAACTGCCTCCGATCCCACTTGTCCTGTTTCAGAAGTCAACTTTGGTACTCCCAACAGTTTAAAATTTCCTTCAACAAGTGAAGAAACAAGAACTGCCAATCTATCAACTTGGTTGGTGTCTACTCCAGTGATGTCAGGTAGTAGTTTTGCCATCCCAATGAATGACGGACTTACTAGGTAGAAAGTCATTCTTGATCTTCCGTGCAGAATCACAACGAAAAAGCTGTCTCTGACGATGAACTGTCCTTTTTGAAAAAACAACATATGTCGTGGAGCATCCAATTTCATTAACCGTTGATGCAATCATCATGGTTGATTTACGAATGCTGCTGTTTGTGCAGTCTAACACTTTTGAAGTCATCACCAGCACACTTGGATTGCTTGGTCGGTCTGTCATTATTTGGAAACTTTACAACAAGTTCATCCATAGATTCTTCATCATCTGAGGAGCACAACTTCGATGATTCTGCTGTTTCCTCATTTTCATCTTCATTTTCAAT